CCCACCTTGGATAGTGAGAGCTGCAGAGTCTTGCACACCAGGGCAGCTGAAGCCTACCAGGGCTCCACTATCCTGGTGCCTGACAGCTTGCAGGATGAGTCTGTGCTGCAAACCCTTCTGCTCCACCCGGTAGCGCAGGGCTCCAGGCTCCACCTGGCCTTCCGTCTCAGTGCTCTTGAGTTGTTCCCCATTAAGGAACCAAGTGCCCTGGATGATGGTGGACAGATCAAGGGAGAAGACGGCATCTTCCCCATCATACACCTGCACATCCTCCAGGCCTGACACCAGGCGAGCTGTGGGTACTGGGACAGGGAGAGACAGGGTATGGCTGTTAGAACCAGAAAGGGCCAGAGAGGACAGAAGCTGGCAGATGGAAGAACACCATTAGTCAGAGAGTCAGAGGAGGGAGGACATGACCGGGGGTACAGACACTGAGGGGCAAAGGATTAACTCACCGAGGTGAGCGGAGCCATTGAACACAACATGGGGACTGCGGCCATGTTCACTGACTGTGCAGATGCGAAAGCGGTAGTCACCCTCGGCAGGTACACAGTCCCCTGGCACCTCGACGGCTCCGGCTTTCTCAATGCTGAAGCACTGGACCCAGTCTTCAGACCCAACTTCCTGCCGCTCTAGGCGGTAGATGAAGGACGTCTCTGGGGGCGGCTCGGGGGGTTTCCAGGTCAGCAGGACTGTGTTCTTTTGGCCTTTGAACATCTCAACCAATACGGGGGGCCCAGGAGGACTGTGCTTGACACCTGGGACAAAGGCGAGATTCTCACTTGAGCCCTGCACAAGCCCCCAACAACATTTCTGCTGTAAACCCACACTGCCAACCCAGGACCCAGACAGTGGCTACCCTCCTGCCCTGATCCTGCTGTTTATGGGGCTCAGTACTCTCACATTTGACTCTGAGCAGGGTGGTGGTACGAGAGTTGCCCAGGCTGAAGGTGATCTCGCCAGCATCTTCTCGGGTCACCCCTGGAAGGACCAGGGCATGCATGTGACCACAACTGCTCTGGCAGGTGGCTGGCAGCTCCTCCCCGTCGTGGCTCCAGCACCCCTGGACCCCAGCTTCTCGGGTCTCCACCAGCAGCACGGCATTCTCTCCCTCCAGGACATCAAGCTTCCGGGGTAAGCGTTTCAAGATGGGTCCTGAGAGGCGGACGGGAACCCATCAGCCCAGGAGCTAGACACCACCGGCCTCAGCCTCCTCCCACTGGCCAGCTGACCTTTGACCGTCACATTGGCCACTGTGCGCACTCGACCCCGCATCTCGCACAGGTAGACGCCATCATCGTCTGCCTTCAGCCTGTGGATGATGAGGCGCCTCACGGTGCCCTCCTCGATCTGCTCGTACTTGCGGCAGGGCAACAGGCGTTGGTCCTCTCGGAACCAGGCCGTGGGGATTCGGGAGTTGGGAACTTTACACTCCAGCACCACAATCCCATGCTCTCGGCCCTCCACATCCTGGAGGGGCCTTGTGAACCGGAGGCGGGGCTCTGTAGAATAGAGGAGAGCCAGAGAAAGCTCAGAAGAAGCTAGCTGAGGAGGACTGGTAATATACATTACTTGCTCTTCCCAGAAGGAGGATGGCAGCCAAATTCCCAGCAGAGTTAGATGGCCTGATTTCCAGCGTGACCCTGATGCTCAGCAGTTATGTCACCTTGAGCACCGCAGGTTGCTTGTGTGTTAAATGGGAGAGGGAGGGCACAGCTGAGCTAGATCAGTGAACTTTCAAACTCTTCCCTAACTCTCCAACTTTCCCCTAATTCTGCAAGGGTCTGCATTGAATTTTACCTTAATAGCACTCTAAGCTTTGCAAAAGCCTATTTCAGAAATAGGAAACCACCAGAGAGCTAAGCTGTGCTGGGGAAACAAGTTTTCGTGCCCCTTGGAGAAGTTCCCTAACTTTCTTGAGGGTAGTCCACTTCTGCACTGGCCTGAAAAGTCTGAGCACATTGAGTTGTGCCCGTGAGGACACTGCCACAGCTCAGGTACCACACACTTGGTTACGTGCCAGGCAGGACTCAAGGGAACTTCTCAACATGTTTCTTGGAAGGAGAAGCTTAGGCACAACCAGTGACAGAGTAATCCCTTGAGCTGGGATCAAATCCTATTAGGGAGAACTTCAGCTTCCAGGGTGACTTTAGAGCATGTTTTGTTTTCTCTGCTTTTTCTGTTCATGAGTACTGAAACCATGTTAGGTAGCCCCCCCCCCTTTGCTTTCATCTTCTTTCAAACATAAACAGATTAATGAAAAAATAGAGACTGCCGGGGAACTTTTCCTCTAGCAAGTTTATCTCCCCTGTGAAGGAGCAGTTGCACCAGCGAGGTTTGCACGGGGCCTTCCCAACAGATCAGGGCCTGAAGCTGTGAACACAGCCTTCACTCCAAATGTGTGTTTTCAGTACAGCAGCTCTCTTGTTCTCATTGACTGGCACGTTACTAATTTAGCCTTAGTTATTTACACCCATAAAAAGCTCCTTTTATCTTACAGACAAGGCGATCGATGGGAATCCAGTTGGGAAAGGATGCCTAAAAGAGCAAAGGATGGCAGCGTAGGCCTGGGAAGTTTACACATAGTTATCCCTAAATTTAGTGGTTTTCAACATCTGCTTGCGTAGTGTGCTAAGAATTTCACAAGTGTACTGGAGACGTCTAAATCCGCACCCCTGAGGGTGGGAGGCAGGTAAGAGATGGGAATTCAATATTCGCCCAGAACACGGAGAGGTGGACAAGAGCAAGGAGGACCTCTGAGGGCACGGGGAGGGGGCGGGGAGGTGCAGCAGCGCTCTACCTTTCACGTGCAGCTGGACTGCGCTGAGTGTTTGGCCAGCCGAGTTGCGCGCTGCGCACACATAGAGCCCACGGTCTTTGGCCTGGCAGTAGAGCACCTTAAGTACAAAGCCACCGTCGCGGTCGCGGTACATGAGGCGGCGGCGGTCGGGGAGCAGAGGGCGGCCCTCCCAGTGCCATTCGATCTCGGGCTCCGGCTTGCCCATCACGTAGCAGCGGAACTTGGCTTGCTTGCCCTCGTTCACCCAGAAGGTCTTGGGTGCGCACTTGAGAGGCTCCACTACGGGTACGGGGGGCTCATCCGGGTCCTGGGGCGGGCTCTCGTGGGGCTGGTGCACCTGGAGCAGCGCACCGGCCTGCGCGTGACCGTGCGCGTTGCGGGCGTGGCACACGTACACCCCGGAATCGGGCAGCCGGGCAGCCTGGATCCGCAGCGTCAGGCTCGCACCCCGGCCACCCGCGCCGCTGCCCGGCTCCAGCGCGAAGTGGCTGCTGTCCCACACTTCGTCCAAGGCCATCCCATCCTTCTCCCAGTACAGCTTGGGCTCCGGGAGGCCTCCCACCTGGCACGTCAGCACCACCTCCGCCCCGCGCAACACCCACTGGGACTGGGGCCCTGTTAGGAACACCGGGGCGCTCTCCCCGGTGCCCGGAGGCGGCAGCGGGTGATCAGAGGACTGGGGCTCCGGCTCTGGAGCGGGGGGCTCCAGCACGGTCACGGCGGCCGCTGCGTAGGCCTCTCCGGCCGCGTTGCGGGCGCGGCACACGTAGACCCCGGCGTCGGTGGGCAGAGCGCCGCTCAGCAGCAGGCTGTGCTCGGCGCCGTCCTCCGGGAAGCTCAGGCGCTCCGAGGCCACCAGCTGCTGCCCGCCTTTCTCCCACAAGACTGTGGGCGGCGGCTCCCCCAGGACCACGCATTTGAGCTCGGCCTCGGCGCCACTTACCACCCGCACGGGCCGCGGGAAGCGCAGGAAACACGGGGGGCTTCCCTGATCCCCTGAGTCAGACTTCATCGCGGCCGCAGCAGATGGCCCGCTTGGGCGCGCGGGAAGGCCGGGAGCCGAGGTCGGAGCGTGGTGGAGCAAGCACGGGGACCCGTGGAACTCCGGTGCCCGCCCGCCTCCTTTTCCTCGACCCGAGCTGCAGCCCTGCTGCACGGCGATTCCCGGGCCCGGAGCCCAGAACTCAGGGGGCAGTCCTTCCTGTTTGCTTGTGCAGCGAGGGGCCCTGGAGCCTAGTCTGCCCGCGGCCTGGCTTCCTGCTCTCAGGAGCCTCTCTTCCCAGCCCCCTCCCACAGCCTGGGCCTCTTTCCCCTCCTCCCTCCCACCTCCAGCCGCCAGGTCCCCAACTGCTGGCCAGGCTTGGGCCTGAGTGCCTGAGGCGCCTGCAGCTGCCAATCCCAAAAATATTCTCTGATGACACAGCTGGAGGACAAGAGCCCAGACTGGCTCCTCCAGGCTAAGTATAGAGCAGGCGGGACCACCTGCCCTCGGCCCAGAGCTCCAGACCCAGGGCTTCCCTCCCACGTTGGTCCTAGCTGTTGTGTGGTTGAAAGGGGTCCCAGAAAGTCTGAGGGGGTTGGTTGGCGCATTCTGTTTTCTTGACAAATGACACTTTCAGGAACTCATGTCTGGCCAACCTTAGCACCCAAGCACCTGTGGTACCTGATAACCTGATGTCCTACCCTGATGTCGACTCTCAATCGTGTGTGTGTGTGTGTGTGTGT